GGGTGCGCGGGGGCACGGCCGCGTGGCCTCTCGGGAGCCAGCACCCAGCGCGAATGGGTGCCACGTGGTCCCCCGCGGCCCTGTCGCCGATCGCCCGTGGGAGCGCCACGACCCCGGCTGAGGCGAGAGCTCCGGGCCCACGCGGCAGGCCCTGATCGCGCGTGCGAGCCTCGAAATGCAGCCAGTCCAGAATGAAGAACGCTCGGGGCCGGAGGGCAGTGCCGGGTTTTGAAGATTCAAGCAAAAGAATGTGAAGTAGCTCGTTAGCTTTATTATAAGGTTGTCATTTTAGCTTTATGGGTTAAGTGCAATATATTTTCATGTAACTGGTAGGAAGCTTAATATGATATATGTCACCTGCATTTGCGGCTCACACTTTTCTGATCGCCCTGAGCTAGGCAGTAAGACTTGGCGTCTTCCTGCCTTTCTTCAGGTACCCTGTCGCCACATAGGAAGGGTTGGGGTATTCTCTTCTAAATTCACCTTCATCCTAACAACTATTTTTAGGGAGTAGGAATGTATGAGAAATCAGTTGTGAAAATGTTTAAACAAATAACACAGCTACGGAAGAAAGCATCATATAACAAGGTCAGACTGGAATCTGGCTTTGCCCTAGAATTACTTTTTGATCTTAGCAAAACAACAACAAAAAATCCCACCTATCTTGGCCTTTTAGTGTTCTGAGTCTAGTGGAGATAATGCCTTTGCCTCACTTTCGAAGGATAAATGAGATGATCCCTGTAAAATGCTTTGAACTCTTCTAAGAAAATTCTCAATAATAGTTACAGGTCAAATCCTGTTACAAAAATACACACACACACACACACACACACACACACAGGCGCGCGCGCTCGCCCGAAAATTACAACAAAGGCTTTGTGTAGAAAACGATTTCCAAACTCCACGCATGGGTTTGTAAAAAGCAGTATTTGGTACATTTCAGTACAGCCAAAGAACTGCGACCATCTGTGGGAAGTCACTATAAAGCTTACTTACTCCCGGTATCGTTTACTATTAGACGATTGAGTTAGGAACACTGCCAGCTGAGGTGATACCATCATCATTTAGTGCTCACTCATTCTGCTACGTTTGTGTACTGTAAGCCACTCTGGAAAGAAAACAGGGATGAATATAGCCTACAGTTCTTCCATTTTGTGTTCTAATTTGTGTAGACATGTTTGTAATTTCTTACTGATTGACTTTTGTTTTTCTGGTACTGGGGATTGAACCTAAGATCTCTGCGCTGAAATACCTCCCTGCCCCTTCTTCATTTTGAGACAGGATCTTGCTAAGTCCCCAAGTTGTCCACATTGGGCTTGAACTTGTGATTCTCCCGCCTTAGCCTCTCACTGTTTGACTATTTTTTAACCCTTTCTTTATGCATAGTAAAGTTAATTATACCTAGTTTTTGGTGGGGAACTTGCAGACACAAAAAATTAATTAACCCAATATAAATTATCAGCATACATTAAAACCACTTTCAAACAAGTGCAGTTTACTCTGTGTACCATGTTGGCTTCATTGATGGAGAAATTAAACCATCATTTAAAAATATCTGAGTGGAGCTGGGCATGGTGGCACACACCTGTGATCCCAGCACTTGGAAGGCTGAGGCAGGAGGATGGCGAGTTTGTGGTTCACTGATTTCCAGAATAGCCATGTACTCTCCATACAGTAGGAAGGGCAAAACCAAAACGGAAATTAGCAACTTAAAAAAAAAAATTGGTGGTGGTACATGCCTGTAATCCCAGCACTCAGAGACTGAGGCAGAAGGATCACTGGAAATTCTAGGCCAGCCTGAACTATTCCATCTCAAAACACCAAAACTATAGTTTAGCTGGTGCAAGCCTGTAATCCTAGCACTCGAGAGGCTGAGGCAGGAGGATTGCCATGAGTTCAAGGTCAACCTGGGTTACACAGTTCAGGTCCAACCTGAACTACATAGTGAGACCCTGTCTCAAAACAAATTATATATATATATATAATTTAGCCTCAGTTCAGGGAATCGGGTATAATTGTTTATCAACCGTACCTTTCCTAGACCCCTAACCAAAAAAGAAAAGAAAAAAGAAAAATCAATGCAAACAAAACTTTAAAAACTTCATCACAAAGACACACACACACCCCTTTAAAATTCTTTTTTTGGTGGGGAGATACCAGGAATTGAACTCAGTACCTCACACTTGCCAGGCAGGCACTGCCCCGCTGAGCTATATCCCTGGGATTCTATTTGAGAATTCTAAAATTCTTATTTGAGACTGTGTTAAACTGGCTCATAAGATGGGCTTACAGTTAAAGGCATACATTTATGGTGGATCTGAATAGCATTTTGCTGTCAAAGAAAATACATGAATAGAAAAGGCAAAGAGGAGTATAGTGGACCTCAGAACATCTTTAAGAAAAGCTATCAGTTCCCTTGAAGTTCACATCCAAGAATCACAATAAAATAACGTAGGAGTATAATGTTTAGTTGTTTTTATAGAGATTTTAATTTTTTTGCTTTGCAGATTAATAAGCATGCTGAAAACATTGGGCTGCTTTTAAATTACAATACAAAAATGGGGATTCATAATGTACTAACATTTGACACTCAGTGTGAGTTTTGTGGGGTATTTCGAGCACTGATTACTTCCTTTTTGGGACAGGCTCTTACTGTGTAGTTCAGGCTGGCTTCAAACTCATGGTAACCCTTCTGCTTCAGTCCTTTGAGTGTGAGGGTTACAGGTGTGCGCCGTCACTCTTAGATAGATGCACTGATTACTTTTAAAGATTTTTTTTTTTTTGCGTGGGAGGCTTGAGGCAGGTTCTCACTATGTAGTCCAGGCTGCCCTCAAACTCACAGATCGTCCTGCCTCTGCCTCCTGAGTACTGGGATTACAGGCATGCGCCACCACACCTAGCAGAAATTTTTTCAAAGAAGAAAATTATTACATTTTAGCTTTGCTTCAACTACAGGTTCATCCCTGTGAGGGACGTATTAGAAATACAAATTCATTAGAATCTGATGCTTAATGAAAACTACCAAGTATCTATGGAAGACTGTCTTAAAGAGAATATTTGAAGTACAGATATAAAGTCCTTTATAAATCATTGGGTCCATGTGACATGTATGTTAGTACTGTTGACGTGTGTGGGTAGTATATAATACATGTTGAGGCTTGTAAAAAGGCTAAATTTTGTGTTGATGTTTTGTTTTGTTTTCACAACTAAGTATTGAACCCAGAGCCTTTATTTTCTGTTTTTTGAGACAAAATCTCATATGCAATTCAGGTGGGACTTAAACTCACTGTGTAGCATAGGCAGCCTTGAACTCACAGAAATCCTCCTGCCTCAGCCTCCTGAGTGCTGGGATTACAGGTGTCCACCACCACGCCTGGCTTTTTCTCTCTTTTGTTAGATAGAGTTTTGCAGAATTGCCTAGGCTGCCCTGGAACCTGCAGTCCTGGAGGCTAGACTAACAGATGTACACTAGTGTTTTTGGCTTTGTCTCAATTACTTTTTAAGAGTTAATCATGTGGATCCTCAACTTCCTAATGCTTTTCATAATCTCTTTGTAAAACTTTAAAGGAATTTGTAGGAACTAACATATCTTGCCAAAGATCATTTAACTTGGTAAAACACACACACATTAGTTTTACAGTTCTCCCATGAAAAGGATTTCAGTGCATGCTTCGTCTTCAAGGACACGGAGATAATCCCTCACTTCTTAGGTGCAGAGTGCGTTTAGTGACTTCTGTGTCTTCCTTCTGAAGAGTACAAGGGAAAGGGAGTGGGGGGCAGCTTACAGCGGAGAAGGCTCTCCAGCACTCCTTCTGCCATGGGCTCAAGGTCAGCGGCAACCATGAAAAGTCATGTTGGTGGAAGATACCTTGGCATGGTGCAATAAAAATGACACTTTACCTCTGTAGTCTTCCCCTTCAGAACCCACAATCTCAGTCTAATAATGAGAAAAACATCACATCAATTCTCGTTAAGTAATGTTCTACAAAAATACCTAGTCAGTATTCCTCAAAATGTTTGCCAGGCATGGTGCATGCTTATAATCCCAGCACTCGGGTCTATAAAAATCCCTAGAAAAGGCAGGTTCCTTTGCAACCCACTCAGGTCCCCTTCTGTCTGTCTCTCTCAGACAGGAGCTTTCTTTCCCCTAGTAAGTGTACTCTGCTCTTAAAAAAACAAGAATGCTTATTTCACATACTATAATTATTAAGAATGCTCTGTAATAATGCGTAACTTCAAATAAATGGTTTTTGTTCAAGACCTTTGTGACACTCAGTGAAACCACAGAATATTTACCTTGTGATAGGTTTGGGGTTCTATTAAAA